CAAATGGAAACTTAAAAATGGCAGTTAGTCTAAAATCAGTTCATTATTAATCTAAAATTTGAAATTTCTAAAAACCGTGTTCATTTTTGACTGCCTCTTAGAATACTTGTTTTTCAGCTGTTTGTTTGTTCTGAATCATTAATTATAAGCAGTCAGTGCTATGATACTAAAATCTGACTTTATGTTTATAGCAATGATGCCATGTGAAAAGCAGGTCTTTTAATTCAATGACCAAAGTTCATAAGACGACTTAGAAATTTTTCTTATGTACTATTCTCAATATCATTATAAGTCATCATTTTAGTTTTTCAAGGTTTGTCTTGCTAAAGCTGTGCGGTCCTTAGAAAAAAAAACTCTCGTTTCGGATGTATAACTGTTTTCTGTTTTTTGTATTTGACCACTAGGTCCATTTTCGTGCCTTTGGTATTTGCTTCGGTATAGCTTTTCATTTTCCTTTGCCTTATTACTGTCCCTTGAGGAAGGAGTAAACCATCTTGTAATGAATGAGTAGCGCTCATTATTATTATTCAGTGCTATCCACAGTCTATTTGTCACATGGCAAATTCGATTTCTGTTTTCCTATTGAGCTCGCTTGAAAGGAAATATTCTTTAATCAGAAATCGCCTATTTCATAGTGTACCTAACACTCGAGTCATCTCGAACGTGGTTCATATTACATTGATTATTGGGCGGTAGAATAGAACGAAGTGCGGACACTGGAACTGACCATTTCCTAGTGATCACGAAGCTCCGAGTTCGTCTGGCTTTGATTCGAAAAAGTTGAAGGGTGTTGTCATTCATGAGGCGTTTCAGATGGAAATCAGCAACAGATTTGCTGCTCTGATCGACGTCACCATCTCCAAAGACCAAAGCTGCTTATAACCGTTTCAAAGAAGGTATCGTCGTCGTCGCTGCCAAGGCTATTGCATTACGTTGTAAGAAGGTGATGCAACCATGGGTCACAACAGAAACTTTAAGTCTTCGCCAGGAAAAACGTACGACGAAGCAGGTGACATTACATGACCCTGACGAGAAGTGGTAAGAGAATATCGATTGCTCGTAAAAGCGATCAACAGGAGCTGCCGCGGGAACAGGCAACGATGATTAGACCTTGAAGCACAGAAGTTGGAAAAGCGGCGATGAAAAGGAACGGGAAGATGCTGTGCCTCCAGGTGAATAACATCGCCAAAGTTGACACAAAACCTATCGCAAGTCCAGAGCCGTTGCAAGACCCTAATGGCCTTCAGAACAGATGAGTCGAGCACTTCGCAGAGCTCTTTATTGGGCCTAGTCCTCCAAGAAATCTCCAAATTGAAGAAGTTGGAAAAGATCTATCTGCTGACCATCGATCGATCGAAATAATCCGTAAAGCCATACGACTGGACTGAGCGACTGAAACGCAAACGTAAAAACCCTCTTTGCCGGATCCATCTGGCTTTTGACTGCATCTGGCAAAAGTCGGTGATACCTGTGACCAGATGAAAGGAGTGATAATGCTGTTCATCATGAGTGAGAGTCGCGCCTATTGTACGAACTATCAAGGAATCATTTTCCCACGCGGTTGCTGGAAAAGATCTTCGTGTGAATCATTTTTGGACTGTTACGGCAATCGGTTAGTCGACTGCTGCCAACTAACCAAACAAACTCCGAAACGAAGATCAGCACTGTACCATAAAGTCCATAAAAGAAAATGACAAGAATCACTTTCATAATGGAAGTATAAAGAAGATTGGCGTCCTAGCGGTTACACGTTTTATCTTTCCTGTGCTTCTTTCCGCCTCGCCTCATCATTCGATTTGTTTACTGCTGTGAATCGTCATTTTCGGTTCAAACAGTATTTCGCATGACTGAAAGATTTGACCGAGTTTTCTACGGCAGCTAACGTAGACGAGGTGTGCATATTCCCTCCCCGATTTC